ACTTAGTTTTTTTTTTTTCAGTGGCCCTAATCCTCTTCCGTAGAACTAGGAAAGAGGTCTTGAACGTTCTCCAGGCCAAGGCAGGGGCGCAGCTAGATGGGGGGCCAGGGGTGGCAATAGCCAGCCATAGCCAATCATTGGCCACCCCTGTTGCCACCCCTGCCATTCTTTCGCTCTAATACAGATGGTGCCAGCAGTAATACTCTCAAGTTGTCCCAATGTTCTAATTTATTGACCTTTTTAATCGTTCATATGTTAACAGTTACTTGACAAAAACAAAATAAAAAAAACAAACAAAAAAAACAAAAAATATGCACATCAATATACTAACATTAAAGATGATAAATACAGATTTCATGCTCTTCTCAGAACTAGATTTTGTCACATGGGGTAAAGATTCATTTGCAAGTCAACTATGAGTCTTTGTGAAATCAGAGATACCGGTAAGTAACTACTTTAATAATTAAGTAATCCATATAATATAGATATTAATACATGTAAATATTAATATATGTAGAAGAAGATTATTGATAAAATTGATAAAAATATTGTCCTCTATACCTTTACTTTAGACAGCATGGATGTTTAAATATATGCATCCATTTGTTAGCAAAGGCTGGAGCAAAGTATAGTTAGTCTTTATTTAGAAAAAAATAGATGTTGTGGTTGTTAATTTTCCTTTTGGAACAGTGTATGGTAATGAGATGACATGTGTTGTGAATTGGCGCTATATAAATAAACTGAATTGAATTGAAATTGAATTGTAAATTGACCCTTAGTTTCTGTTGCCTATCTGCTTTCCACCAGAATGAAGAATTACTTTTAACATAAATGAAATGGGTAACATTTTTAAGGGGTCAGTTTAGAGGTGTGATGTAAATTAATGCAGTAATTAAAATTAATGTTCAATTTCAATTCAGTTTATTTATATTGTGCCATGTCACAACAAATGTCATCTCAAGAGAACTTAGGGAGACAATTCAACCAGATCTCACAGTCATTCCATCCATCCATCTTGCTGCGCTTATGCAGTCAAATTGGTTCTGTTTTCTATCTAAAGAAAACCAACTAATTGCATCAACTCATTTACTCAAAACGCTCTTTTAACAGGAAGAAACCTTAAGCACATCCAGGCTCAGTGTGAGTGGCCATCTGCCAACGTCGACTGGGGTTCAAGGTAACTGTCAACCAGCTCCACATCTAGGAAACACACAGTCAGGCAGACGAGCCAGCTCCCATGTCAGAGGATTGAAGAGAGCACATACGGTTAGTCACAGTCAGATAAACAGGACTACACTAAAAAAACAGGCCAAAATTTTACATCTATAAACAAAGGTGTTGAAGGCAGCAGCACAGTTGACATTTACCTGCAGGATGGTGTCCAAACAGGAATAGACCAGATGAAGTTACCATGTGAAAAAGCAGAGGGAGCATAATGTTAAAGGGTAAGCTATTAAATACTGCAGAATGGAAGAATAGAGATAGGATGATGAAAAGCAGTCCTCCAGCAGTCTATGCCTATAGCAGAATAACTATAGAGATAGCTCAAGATAACCTGAGCCACTCTTACTATAAGCTTTATCAAAAAGGAAAGTTTTAACCCTTGTCTTAAAAGTAGACAGGGTGTCTGCCTCATGGACTAAAACTGGTAGTTGGTTCCACAGGAGAGGATCCTGATAACTAAAAGATCTGCCTCCCATTCTACTTTTAGAAATTCTAAGAACCACTAGTAAACCTGCAGATTGAGAGCAATGCACTCTCTCTCTGCAGGTTGACTAGTGGTTAAATATAACTGCGGATGTCTGGGGGACAGTGATTCGCCTACATGTTATGAATGCTGGCGTACCATAAATGATAAATTATGAACAGTTTAGTTTGAGCCTTCAAGTCGTTGCCCTTAGGAAGACGTTACTTGGATATAACCTAACGGAATATCTCCAGAACAGCTCCAAATGATACAAAACTAATATGGGTGAGTAGAACATGATGTAATGACATAAAAACAAGGGCCCAATGTAAAAAAAAAAAAAAAAACAGTGTTTCCCTTTAGATGTGAGAAGAAGGATTTTAAATTCTATTCTAGATTTAGCAGGAAGCCAATGAAGAAAAACTAGGATAGGAGAGATACGATCTTTCTTTTTAAATTTCACCAGAACTCTGGCTGCAGCATTTTTGATTAGCTGAAGGCTTTTAAGGAAATCAGAATCAACTTCATTGGTTGTACAAACAAGGAAGTCATCGTAATCAACTGTCCAAACCCCAACTGCAGTTTCTTTCACTGTCTTTTTTATCAAAGAAGAGAGGCAGGTTGAAACAGTGAAAAAAAAGTGTCTTGGTTTCCACCAAAATGTCTGACTAACCTGTGAGGTGTTGATTGAGTTCAACAGAGAAGCAGTCTGACTCTGAGGAAATAAACTCACTGTGTTGGATTCTTTTGGCATCGGGGCTGTGTCACGCTGTTCTGAAGGTAAAAGTCTAAACAGCATCTGCCCAGGATGTGTGAGGTAGACAGAAATGTTTAGTTGCTCTTGAACCTGTCAGACATCTGGTGATTCTCTGCAGAATTGGTTTATTCCTTAATGTAGGTAAGCTAAACCAGAGATGGATGTGAACCAAACTGGATGAATGATGGTGGAGTTGGAGATGAACAGCAGTCCTAATGATTTAAGTCTTAACCCAATTCCATAAAGAGGGGGATCTATCTTCATCCACCTCTGAATATCACTTTCCCTCATAATTGTCTTTTATAAAATTACTGAATTGAAGATGCAACAAAATTCAAGACAAAAAAGATTATTGAAAAAGATTATTGAAAAAGATTATTGAAAAAGATTATTGAAATTATTATTAGTGTTTCTTGGAAATGTGTGTTTTATAGCCAAAAGAACTTCCCTATCAAATTATTGGCACCTCCTAATTCTAACCTTATTTGTCACAAGGTTAATTACCTGTGCATATATCTACTTAAACATTTTGGCATGCATGGCTTATTTAGTCACTAGATGGCGACAAAGTGTTGAAAATTAAGTATGCGCTTCTTCAAAGGGATTCAAATATTGATTCATTGCACAAGATTCTTAAAATAACAGAGTCAGTTTGCAACACAAAATAGTTCTGAATATTTTGCTGGTGCTACTTGCCTTTACTTTTTATTACAATCTTCATCAATAAAGTTCAGATTACCTTAGTGTACATTCAGATGCAATAGTTATTAAAAAGTAAAATTTTAGGTGTCTGTTATATACTGTTTAAAACCCCCTTATTCACACTCTGTGTTTTGCAAACCATTTTATGATGATAATAATTTATTTTATTTAAAAAGGTGCCTTTCTGGACACTCAAGGTCACCGTACAAAAAGCATAAAAAACACAATGTCAGAAAAAAATCAAAACACATTTAAAAAAATACAGAGGCTGTGACAGTGAAATATTTTATTTTATTCATATAAACTATTTATCTTTAAAATTACGGCAATTTATCCTGATCAAGGACTTCGATAACTGGTGAAAATCTTTATTCCCTAATGTCAGCTGAATCAGTTGCATGTAGGCCCATCACCAGCTCTGCCATATCAATGGGGTAGAATGAAACTGATATTAATTTGTGGGGATAACAGATTATTAGATTTAGACTTAGACTTTATTGTTATTTTGTACAGAGTGTATACAAAAAGGAAATTTTGTTCTGTACAGCTCTCAAGACATTTCCATTTCTAAAGTGCAGCAATGATGAAAATGTAAACATGTTTAATAAATGTAAACATAAGACAGGTATATTATTTACAGTTTCCCCCATTCAGCGCTTGCACATGCGCTTTTGTGCCCTTTTGACCAGTGAGGTGGTGTTTACATATTATGTAAGGACCTTGACAATTAAAAACTTTGGCAGCAAATATGCCAAATATGTTTAATTCATCTTCTTTTGCTACAGAATTGCTGCAAGAAAACCATTATAAGTAGATTTTTACAGATAAAGAAAACTATGGCAATAAACAATTTATTTAGCACCTTTCAGTACGCTGTACTGCCTATAAACCTACATATAGTAAAGATCGAACATTAACGATTACAGAATTAGAAAAGTAGGCAAGAGGATACACTACAATTTAAAATGTTGGCTTTGTAGACTAGTTTGGAGCGGTAAGAGATAAGTTATCTATAAGTTCAGCAGGAAGTGATGCCAAAGTTGAAGAGCAGGATGAATTCAGCCTTGAACTCCATGGGATAAGACTGGAAAGCCAGAACAGAGAGGAGAGGGCTGATATGAGAAGTACATGCAGAAGAACATTATTGATGTAATGTATAATGTAGAACAGGAGTGACATTATTATGGCAAGAATTCAGGTTCATGATATGGATGGTGGAGTTCTAAACCATCTGTAGCTTGTGAGGGAATTTATATATATATATAAAAAAAAAGGGATTTACTGATATCAGGATATCAAAAAACTGTGGATAATGAGGTAAGAATGATAAGTAAATATAAATCTCACTATTTCTTCCAACATAATAAACGCGTCTTTATTAATATGCACATATTGATTATTACTGTTTCAATACTATTGGTTATACCTGCATTTGCATTTGTCAGATCGTGAGAATTTTGAAACAAATCAAGGAGAATGTTTTATTTTTTTGTTTCTTTTTTTCCATTTAGACTCTAAACCCAGCTATA